AAATTAGTGTATTACCACTAACCGCACCAAGGCAATCAGTGTAATTGCGGCATTAAACAAATTTAAATACCGGTCATTTCAACACCAAAATATATTCGGGTACATCCACTTATCTGAAAGTATCTTACATTTTTTCAAACAATGAAGGGTAAAGACGGTAAAAATTCATATCCTACTATTTTGATTGCAGGAATTAATAACACATCTGTTACATCATACTAGTGGTGAGGACGAGGAAGAAGAATTTCGACCTATTGAAATGAACGCCCGTGAAAATGAAATGGGTGATAAATTTAGAATCAATGGATTGGTTCATAGAATTGAACTGGATAAAGGAAGTCTTCATCTTTATCCTGAACTGAAATTGCAAAGTTTGCCTTATCATAAATATTATCGTCATATAAATGTAGATTTCAATACGAAACTTATCTTGACAGTTGTAGTTGAAATGGATGCAATTAATGTTATTACTTTTTGGAAAGGAGAATTGGTAAAATAAGAAACCAATATAATATTGTAAGTAATTTTATACCTTTATGTTATCTAACAGTGTCTTATATAGGACAATATAGCATTCCTCAAACTACCTTTATAGGAGAAGGCGTGTATGAGAGTCTCCAGTACACTCTATTCAAGGACCATGAGATAGAAAATATGATATGGATCGTGATTGTAATTAAATTCACCTTCAGAAATATGTGTTCTAATTTTTTCTTCAATTAACCTGAAGTAATTTTCATCTGTTTAAAAGCAATACTACAACTTTTTTTTAGCTTTCGATAAACTATTTCTCCGGTTTAATTATTAACTTGCCACAAGAACACGTGGCCCTTCTCTTTATCCTACAGTCAGTTTCCATTGAAGATAGATACGTGCAATGCAACCACAATGCTTGATTGAAACGTATTCGTTCGATATTTACAACAAGCGTCAACGTGAAAAATACGTAAATTTAGAGCAAGGAAGTGAAATAGCCTCCTGCTTGAAAAGGATTCCTCCCTAAGATGAAATCTCCCCGAAAAAGATTTAGTTCCACACCGCTAGGAATTATTATAGTGCTATGTTGAAATCTACGTATCCGTTTCTGACTGAAGAGGCCTCTGGCAAGCCTGACCACCCCACCTCGTTCCGTAAAGAACTTCATTTTTAATGATTGTAAATAGCTTTATATTTTGATCAAGTATCGCGTATGATTCTTCATTTTGATTATTGTCTCACGTTGATAATAATCTCTGGATGGATGTGATCAACTCCGTGTCTCATGAGCAGTTAGCCAGAAATCTACTCAGTTCGATCTTTGTCCTGAACACAAGCTGACGGAGCCGGATACCCTTATAGTGATTTGAGAACCTGTTAGATGGAGCAGACAAACTAATGCAGAATAAAGTAACCTTCAGAAAATTGTGATCTGTATTGTATAACCCAAATGATTGGCAATATCATTCCGATTAAGCATCGTGTATGTTAATAATCCGTTAATCCGTTAATAATCATAACTACATCGAGATTTGAGGATGCTACAACCTTTGTGATATTGTTGTTTTCCTATTGTCTATGTGGATAAGTAAAAAACATTTTGTAAAACGGTAATCATGAGTTTAGGTAAGTAAATGAACAAATCAATATTTTTTTTTAAAGTAATTTTTAAAATGTTACAGAAATCTTTTGTTGGTGGTAGGCAACCGGGAGTAAGTAATATACACACCCGATATTATATTGATGTTACTCCGTTTTATAGAAAAGGGTGCGGATAAATAGAGAAATAGCCCCGCGCGGACAGTATATGGGGTTTTACGTTTATAAAGGGGTATGGTGCCTCCTGTATAAATTTGCAGGCACCATATGGATAACACATGTAAGTATCTATTACCGTTTTTTTCGTTTTTATATTTATTTCATATTTTTAGTTTTAAAAACCAGGTATATGCGAATAGATCTGGACAGGGCGGTTATCAAGTCAGCTATGTTTAACACTCTTTAAATACAGTGTTTAAATCCATTTTCTTATAGGAGGAATACGTTTTAGATGCATAAGAAAACGTTCGAAAACACTTATAGATTTGGAATATGGAACTGATTGACTGTAAAAAGGAAAAATAGGTATGTTTAACTCACTTCTACATGCTAAAATTAACGTAATTTTTCTTATAGGAGGGAAATTCAGTATACACCCTTTACAAGTTTTAGAAGAATTTTTGAAAATTAACCACACGGACTCACGTACTCATCATCAAAATGGATGAACACCCTAACGAATAAAATACTCTTATTAAGAACTGTTTTGGATAAAACCCCAGGTACAATTTAATTCGCTTTACAATCTGTAATTAAGACTTTTTTTCAGGCAAATGTTTCACAAGCTATGATGGGTTTCCTGGTCCAGAAACACCGGAAGCAAAACACCCAAAATGTGACGTCTCAAAATTGCCGACTCACGCGCTCCCATTGGCTCACACGTGATCACATGACCGAAATACTGGATTCTGATTGGTGTGACGTCACTTCCTGGTCCAGAACATACATTGCTCATCTACTAGTAACCTTCAGAAAATTGTAATCTATATTGTATAATCCAAACGATTGCTTAAAGAATCATTCCACGGAATGGAATAATCATTCCTGTTTATTTTGATTGATTGACAATATCATTTCGATTAAGCATCGCGTATGATTCTTCATTTGATTCGGGCTGACGTTAATCATCTCTGGATGGATGTAACCAACTCTGTGTCTCATGAGCAGTTAGCCAGAAATCTACTCAGTTCGATCTCTGTCCTGAACACAAGCTGACAGAGCCGGTTGTCGTTATAGTCACTTAAGAAACTGTTATGGAGCAGACAAACTAATGGAGCACAAAACAACCCTCAGAAAATAGTGATATTTTTTGTAAAACACACGATTGCTTAAAAAATCATTAATCCTGTGGTATGGAATAATCATTCCTGTTTATTTTGATTGATTGGCAATATCATTTCGATTAAGCATCGCGTATGATTCTTGATTTGATTCTGGTCTGACGGTCATCATCTCTGGATGGATACAACCAACTCTATGTCTCATGAGCAGTTAGCCAGAAATCTACTCAGTTCGATCTCTGTCCTGAACACAAGCTGACAGAGCCGGTTGTCGTTATGGTCATTTGAGAAACTGTTAGATGGAGCAGACAAACTAATGGAGCACAAAACAACCCTCAGAAAATAGTGATCTTTTTTGTAAAACACACAAGATTCCTTAAAAATCATTAATTCTGTGGTATGGAATAATCATTCCTGTATATTTTGATTGATTGGCAATATCATTTCATTTGATTCAGATCTGACGTTAATCATCTCTGGATGGATGTGACCAACTCTGTGTCTCATGAGCAGTTAGCCAGAAATCTACTCAGTTCGATCTCTGTCCTGAACACAAGCTGACAGAGCCGGTTGTCGTTATAGTCACTTGAGAAACTGTTAGATGGGGCAGACAAACAAATGGAGCACAAAACAACCCTCAGAAAATAGTGATCTTTTTTGTAAAACACACAAGATTCCTTAAAAAATCATTAATCCTGTGGTATGGAATAATCATTCCTGTTTATTTTGATTGATTGGGAATAGCATTTCGATTAAGCATCGCGTATGATTCTTCATTTGATTCAGATCTGACGTTATCATCTCTGGATGGATGTAACCAACTCTGTGTCTCATGAGCAGTTAGCCAGAAATCTACTCAGTTCGATCTCTGTCCTGAACACAAGCTGACAGAGCCGGTTGTCGTTATAGTCACTTGAGAAACTGTTAGATGGAGCAGACAAACTAATGGAGCACAAAACAACCCTCAGAAAATAGTGATCTTTTTTGTAAAACACACAAGATTCCTTAAAAAATCATTAATCCTGTGGTATGGAATAATCATTCCTGTTTATTTTGATTGATTGGCGAATATCATTTCGATTAAGCATCGCGTATGATTCTTCATTTGATTCTGGCCTGACGGTAATCATCTCTGGATGGATGTAACCAACTCTGTGTCTCATGAGCAGTTAGCCAGAAATCTACTCAGTTCGATCTCTGTCCTGAACACAAGCTGACAGAGCCGGTTGTCGTTATAGTCACTTGAGAAACTGTTAGATGGAGCAGACAAACTAATGGAGCACAAAACAACCCTCAGAAAATAGTGATCTTTTTTGTAAAACACACAAGATTCCTTAAAAAATCATTAATCCTGTGGTATGGAATAATCATTCCTGTTTATTTGGATGATTGGAAATATCATTTCGAGTAAGCATCGCGTATGATTCTTCATTTGATTCTGGTCTGACGTTAATCATCTCTGGATGGATATAACCAACTCTGTGTCTCATGAGCAGTTAGCCAGAAATCTACTCAGTTCGATCTCTGTCCTGAACACAAGCTGACAGAGCCGGTTGTCGTTATAGTCACTTGAGAAACTGTTAGATGGAGCAGACAAACTAATGGAGCACAAAACAACCCTCAGAAAATAGTGATCTTTTTTGTAAAACACACAAGATTCCTTAAAAAATCATTAATCCTGTGGTATGGAATAATCATTCCTGTTTATTTTGATTGATTGGCGATATCATTTCGATTAAGCATCGCGTATGATTCTTCATTTGATTCAGATCTGACGTTAATCATCTCTGGATGGATGTAACCAACTCTGTGTCTCATGAGCAGTTAGCCAGAAATCTACTCAGTTCGATCTCTGTCCTGAACACAAGCTGACAGAGCTTATAACGGTGAATTTGCTCAAACCCGCCGCTAATCGGCCAACTAGCTCAGGGGTGACTATTAATCGGGGTAAGCTTGAGCACTCAAGGGTCAGTAGGTATCGTTCGGTCTCTGCGGGCACTGGATTCCGTTCCTCTCATCTAATAATTAGGTATGCTAGAGCAAAGCAGTAAGGGCGCCACCTTATTACCTGGAATATTATACACTGACTGTTACCGGAATAAGGAAGTGTAACAGTAGCGGCACAACAATAATATAATCAGTGAGTACCTGACCACCCAAAAATCAAAAATTTATTCAGTAAGGTACACCAAATTCAAGAAAAAATCTTAACGCATGAATATGCACTACTAAAAATAATATACATTTACTAATCTCTTCCCCTAAATTGAATTCCCCCAAAAACTTTAACCCCAAAACGAGGTGGCGAACACACAAGTATATAAAGAGAAGGTATTATTCTTACCTGGAGTTCCGAAGGCATTCGTGGAGTGAGCTCATCCCAGGAATGTTCAACCTAGTAGCTATAATAAAGAATAAAAGGACAAATTAACCGAGAATGCCTCGGTGAATCAAAAATGCTACAGTGAGGTACTTAACGGTGCCTGAGGGCTTACCACTTGCGGTACTTCCCACGATCGTAATAGGACAAACCAATATTAAATCATGTCTCCGAAGGAGATCTCAAATGCAAAAACAATAATCAGAGCCAATTATGTAGGCATTAATCGAAAGATCGTTAACCAGAATTACGATTACAATTAAATTTAAAATAGTGAAAATTTCCCCAAAACTGGTCAGATAATTGATATAGGCTAAGTAATTGTGTCGACGGTGATAAGCTCAGATATAGGTCATGTATTCTATCTCATGGTTCCAAACGGCTGATTACTGCTGAATGTGTATTCAGATGAAGGCATCTGTTGGTAATAATTCAAAATGGACGTCCCTCCGGTGACATATGTTAATGTGCAAATTTACACGGGATACAAGGACCCTAAAAAGCGATTGTTTAAAACGGTGCATTTTAGTACGCATAACCCTCTTTACCTCTTATTAAAGAAGGTCTATTGGAAAGATTGACGTTGTATGATAATTAATAACGATCAGGAAGATACGGTCACTAAAAATGAACATTATAATGGCCGAGATATTAATCCCGTATATCTACTTACATAGTTTCGCTGGTAATTCGTTTAAAAGCCTCTCAAAAGAGTTCACTACGATATTGATTAACCAAAAAAAAACTATCAATCCATAGTTTAATAAGATGATTCCGTGAAAGGTAATACTTCAATAGATGACGGAAACCAATCTTTTACGACATTACACCAGCGAACTAATATTCAACCGACACTTTTGCGTCTTCCCAAAACGAGCAACGAAAAGAAAGTAAGTCACGCACGAATTTTCCTCGCCCCGCCAATCGCGCAGGTACCAATCCCGAAACCCACAATCGTCAAAACTAACAATTGAAGGTTACATCGCATTCTCCCCCGCCAGTGCCGTAACAAGGGAAATTCGTACTGACTAACTTAGAATAATTACAACGTTACATCCCCCCTCTCCTTCGACAGGAGGGAAACTACAAGTTTTCCGACGATCGAAAAACCCAGCACACACACTCGAAAAGGAAGCAAACAAATTGAAAACCCGAAAACCCACCCCAGTGTAAAAAAAACTCCCCCCCCAAAGAATTTCACCTTCAAAGAATTTTCCCAGGTTCTCCAGCAGCCGAAAAGGTATGCAAAATCGGGTATTGACATGCCCTCGCGTAAAGATGGAATCTCGCGCCGTCGGGTATCATGACAATAGCAACCCCTTTCCTACAACCCCAATCCAACTACTAGTCACCCCCAAGAAAACCAAATCCAGTGCCCACCCAGAAGAAAGAAACCCTACAGTTTCAAGTGATGCAGCACCAAAATCCCCAAAATAAAGAAACCCCCCTCCCTGACTAAAAACGACACAAAAGCCCAAATTTTGACCCCCTTGCCGAAAAAGTGTAGAAGGAAACCCCCAAAAAGAAGGTACCTTTCCAACCCAACTCCACCATGCACTAGCGCAATGAAATGAAGAAGGTGCTATGGATAGAAGATAGTAAGAGAGAAGGAAGAAATCACATTTGCGGAGAAAGAAAAAAAAAAAAACTCATTCATGCCGATTCCAGGGGTCCCATGGTCACCGAGGCTCGCACAGGGAAGGCGCACCCACCCCCTTCCTCTTGTGTGTCAACTACCCATCCATTCAAACATTCATTCATTCTATGGAACGGAAATGGAAGAAAGAAGAGTAGAAAAAGATAGAATATAGGAAAGCGAAAAGAAAAGGGCAACCTCTCCCAAATTTCCCCTGAGGAAATTAGAAGAAGAAAAGTGTTTGAGGTGCAGATAGAAAAAGAAAGAAGGAGGATAATGGATCGGGACGAATCCCCTAGCAGGTGTTGTTGCTACGATCCGAGAGTCCATCCCCTGTGCCCAACCAAACCACCCAAAAATTGCGTGGAGACAAAGTGCCTACACTACATGAAGTCAAATTCGGTAATACAAAAAAAAAACAATGTGTCTAAATAGAGTGAAACGGTAGCAACAACAAATCCGCCAACCAGAAGACAATCCCAGAAATACTACATTTAACCATGATCGTCGGGTTCGAAATAGGGTTTGAGATCCTGGACGTGCCACATGCCAGAGGATTTCCCATGGGCGTCCTTCAACTCATAGGTGAGATAACCTACCTTACGGGCAACCGTAAAGGGTCCTAAAAATCGAGGGGCTAGTTTGGCGGTATAATCCTTGGTAGCGTCAGAAATAGATTTATTTTTGCGCCAGACCTGCTGTCCAATCTCAAAACTCACATGCCTTCGTCTCAGATCGTAAGTACGTTTGTTTCGGTCATGAGTATTTCGGATGCGTTCAATTATTTTAGTACAAAGTTGTTGTTGTTGTTCCAACCGCTGTTCGACATCAATCGGTTCATTGTCAGTCAAGTCTGTCTCGAAGCTGTCCCCCCGAATACGAAATTCTTTCCCGAAATTAACACGATAGGGAGTGACTCCAGTGGTTTCGTGTTTAGAAGTTCTAAGGGCACAGGCAATCGAAGCTAAGTTGACATCCCAATGGCGGTGATTGTCCTTAATGTAGGTGGAAATTAATTGTTTCACCACCCTATTAACACGTTCCGCAGGATCGGCTTGTGGATGATAGAAGGGTGTGAAACGAACATTGACACGGTAGCGGTTACAAAGATTCAGAAAAAGTCGGCTGCGCATTTGCACGCCGTTGTCACAAATAAGATGTTGAGGCGCTCCGTACACGAGAAATACCGACTCCTCAATGCACTTAACAAGTGTTTGCGCATTCGCGGTCCTAACTGGAAAAAGAAGTACGAACTTGCTCAAATAGTCTGATACAACCAGAAGATGGGTGCGTCCCTGAGTTGATCGAGGTAAGGGACCAATAAAATCCAAACTAATCATCTGCCAAGGTTCATAGATCTTAGGGTGGGAACCCATTAAACCAGCAGGTCGCTGTTGTTCCGGTTTGTGTTCCGCACAGGTGGGACAACGTGAAACAAAACGTTTAACATCGCTAACCATTTTGGGCCAGTAATAACGATGATGGATACGCCAATAGGTTTTGTAAACCCCAAAATGTCCTGATGTAACATTGTCGTGGGATTCACGGATGATAGCAAGTCTAAAATCGGTAGGAACGACGAGTTTCCACTTCTCGAAGTCACGGCTATCTGAGGCAGAACGAATATATTTATATAAAAGAGAATTCCTCACATTCCATCCAGGGTATTTATGCGGCTCTTTTTCCAAACAATCGAACATACCACGATACCAACGATCAGTGCTACCACGAAAAGCTTCGGGGTTAATAATTTCCTCCGAGGTGTGAATAGCATCTATAATGGGTACGGTACGTGATAAGAGATCGGGTACCAAATTGTCTTTACCCTTGCGGTGTACGAGGGTAAAAGTATATGGCTGAAGGCGAAGTGCCCAACGTGCTAAACGCCCTTGGGGATCTTTAAGGGAATGCAGCCACAACAAAGAATGGTGGTCCGTGATCACGGTGAACTGAACCCCCTCGAGATAGTGTCTAAGTTGCTCCACCCCCCAAATGACGGCCAAGCACTCACGCTCAGTGGTGCTGTAATTGCGTTCAGCTGCAGACAAGGAACGAGACAAGTAACAAATAACTCGTTCTCCATCCGGGAAATTTTGAGTTAACACAGCGCCTAAACCGTAGGCCGAAGCGTCTGTCTGTAGAATGAAAGGTTTAGTAAAATCGGGGCAATTTAGAATTGGTGCAGTAGCTAAAAGTTCTTTAAGTTTCACGAAAGAGTTCTCGCAATCAGAGGTCCACTCGAAGGTGACGTTTTTCTTAAGAAGTCGAGTTAAAGGCGCCACGATTGTGGAGAAATCGGGAATGAAACGTCGGTACCAACTACAGGTTCCTAAAAATCGCCTAACTTCGTTAAGATTGGTAGGTGAAATGATATTTAAAATTGCTTTTACCTTATCAGGGTCGGGATGTAGTCCATTTGCATCTACAACATAACCCAGATATTTTAACTCTGAGCGGCAAAAATGACACTTGTCTTTATTGAGTACGAATCCTGCAGCAGACAACTTGTTGAAAACGGTTTGCAAAATTCGCAGGTGCGAATCGAAGTCTTGGGAGACGATGATTACATCGTCCAAGTATACTAAGACGTTAGGCTGCAGTTCGGGTCCTAAAACCGTATCTATGATACGCTGAAAGGTAGCTGGTGCATTTGTCAAGCCAAAAGGCATTCGGCGGAATTGGAAGAGTCCACGACCAGGTACCGTAAAAGCGGTATATGGGCGAGAAGATTCCTCGACCTCCACTTGCCAATACGCCGACTTGATGTCAAGCGAACTAAGGTAGCGAGCGTCCCTCAACTGTTCTAATATGGTGGAGATATAGGGCAAAGGAAACGCGTCCTTTATAGTCAGGGCATTCAGCTTGCGGTAATCCACGCAAAAACGGTAAGTATTGTCCTTCTTCGGAATTAAACAGACCGGAGAAGCCCAAGGACTAGTGGATGGTTCGATGACATTATTCCTAAGCATCTCATCGATGGTGACATTAAGAATTTTCTGTTTGACTGGGTTGACAGGGTAGTAGCGTTGTTTGAGGGGTTCGGCGCCCTCAACAAGGCGTATCTTGTGTTTCCCCACCGAGGTTAATCCCAAATTAGCTCCCATGGCTTCAAAAGTTTGATCCAAAAGGGTAGTGAGTGACTGCTGCTGTTCGGCAGTAAGATGAGGTTGATCAATAATAGCTACTTGATGAGATGGTGGAGTCGTAGACGTGAAATGCCAGCAATCATCGTGAAGATTGGGTATTATACCGATTCTGTCCCAAAAGTCTATGCCGAGAATCAAATTCGTTGTTAGGTCAGGCATCACAAATAAATTCAATAAAATGGTGCGATCCTTTAACGTGATGGGTGCCATGATGTAACCAATGGCTTGTGCGTTGGCTCCATTCGCAACGGTACATGAAGTGACTTGGGGTACGAATCGTAGCCGAAGTTGTTGCAATTTATCACAAAAGTCTTGGCTTATGTATGAACGTGAAGCGCCGGAATCCAACAGTCCAAGTAAGGAAATCTCCAAGATATTGATCATGACATAAGGTCTGGAATCATTAGTGACGTGTTGCAGTATGAAATCTAAAGCGGGTTTGAACGAAGTTTTTGGAATTTTGGTCGTCGGAAAACTCGAAACCTCGCGACAACCTAACGAGCGTTTCGTGGGCCGTTTCCCGAACAAAATGTACAGGATCGGACGGTGACACCGGTGGTTCCACACTTATAACAAAATAATTGTTTAGGTTCGGGGCAATCGACACGATTGTGACCCAAACGGTTGCAATTATAACATGGTGAATTTCGCGTTTCCGTAGAATAAATGGGAAATCGCTGGGGTGCTTGACGAGTACCAGTGGGACAACTAAATCCAGGTTCCAGCAGGGGCAATGAAGTGTTGTTTCGTAATGCCTCGTGTCGCGCTAAGTCCTGCTTAATGGCATCAAATCGACGGCATTCAGTTAAAAGTTCGTCGATTGTACTGTATCTCGTAGGTCCCAGTTTAGTTAAGTAAAACGGTAAAAGGTTTCGTCGAACTATGCGTACTTGGTCGCGTTCAAGTGGTGGATTTTTTAAACGGGCAAACAGTCCTTGCATGATTGCAAAATAGATATCTACTTTCTCAGTAGATCCTTGGATCCTAGCTTTAATCTCATCCAAAAGGTCTTCCTCATAATTGGATGGTAAAAATGTTTGTCGTAGAAGTTGGGTAAGGTGCTCCCATGAGGTAGCTCGATATGAATTTACATGGTACCAAGTCATTGCTATCCCTTCGAACAGGTCATAGGCAGACTCGAACAAGGTAGCGTGATCGACGCCACGAGCTCTAGCCATCCGTTCGACTTTATCCAAAAATGAATTAACAGTATCCCCCTTAGGCTCTCCAGAGAATTTAAGTCCCCATTTATGCACTGGTGTGCTATGTACTGATAATTTTGGAGGCATTTCAGCTGTGCTGCGAGTAGGAGTCGAAGTTACTATCGGATGTGGTGCTGAAGGCAATATAGTGTCATTAAATCTAAAAGCTTTGTTGTCTAACGAGGC